CAGGGACAGTGCCCAGGCCGAGTTCAAGCCCCATGATCAAAAAAAAAAAAAAAGGACTCTGGGGTGATCTGTTCCACTGTGCTGCTGGATGTTAAGATGCAGGTCAGTTGTGCTTTGGGGCCTCAAATGTAGCCCCAGCTGGGCTCCTGGGAGAAGAGGCCTGCATCCTTACAGGAGTCCTGTGGTGATGGCTGGTGCGGCTGCAGCCTTGCATGAGATGTCTCACTCCGCGTGTCTCCCTCGTGTAGTGCTTCAGCTTAACTGGAAGTGAACACTACAGTTCCTGAGCAAGGGTGTTTGCATCCCGCTCTTTTGCTCGGTCTGTGCCCAGCTCAGGGACACGCGAGTCCACGCTGGGATAGAAGACTTACAGAAGGAAGCCTGGAAGCGTGTTGATTTTTATCGAGTTTTGTTTTTGCTCTTATAAAATTGTAGAGAAGAAAGAACTTGGGTAAATGAGGGTTTAAAAAATGGGGCTCTTCAATTCCCTGTCTGCTTTTAAGCATCCATAAACGTATTTTGCCAGTTTGTATCTGCTTTTATCCAGTCTTGATTGGGAATGTGTGATTCTCTTTCAGAATCAGTATAATCTAGCAAGAGCCCAACAATCCTATAACTCCATCGTGCAGATCCACGAGAAGAACGGTACGTTTCCTCCACCGTGTGCCAGCATGCCATCCTGCCGCCTGCGAAGCTTCCATTAGCATTGCTACTCATCTTCCTTCCCTTTGCTGTTTTTGCTGTAATTTCTAGTACTGTCACAACAGTGAAAAACATGTAACTTGGGCTGCATTTCAAATCTTGGCGCGGGCGGGGCGGCAGTGGTTTGCGCCCAGGACCTTGGCTCCTCTGGAGGCAGAGAGCAGGAGGACTGCGGCTCACGAGCAGCCTGGGCAGGAAAGCGATTGAGACAGTGTGGTGGGTGCCGTCACCCCAGCTCCATGAGAGCTGTCATCCACAAAACGGAGTGTGCAGGCCAGCCGAGGGCAGAAAGAGCCAAGAGACTCTGTCTCAGCGGAAGAGGCTGGGCATGGCAGCCTGCACCTGTCAGCCCTGCCAGGACAGGGAGCCTCAATAGGTGGATGGGGGCCCAGGTGTGTCCCCTGTCAAAAATAACCAGTGTGGAAAAGGGCTGGAGGCGTGGCTCAGCAGTAGAGTACCAAGCAAGCAAGCACGACACAAACTAAGTATTGCCTCCTCGCAAAAAGTAAGTTGACATGAATCCCTCCAGGCCTCAGCGTCGGGGCCAGTGGTGCTGGGTGCATGAATGAATCTTTGCTCACGTGAGATGTAGTAGGATAAGAATTGAGTTAACTGCACCTCTGTATATGTATCGTGTTGTGTTCTTTTGTTTGTTGTTTTCCATGTGTTTCCTTTTAAGCCTGGGTCTTGCTGGCCTCGCTGGCCTCAAACAGTCCTCCTCCCTCTGCTTTCTGGGGACTAGAATGACAGGTGGGCACCACCATGCCCAGCTACAGGCAACTCTGACAAGAACTTACCACGATCGAGTCAGTACAGTAAGATCTGAGCCAAGTGTTTCTGAAACATCTTCAGCTTACGGACTGCTTCTGACCGTTCTCTTCTCACTGCAGAATAACTTTCTTAAAATGGCTTTCACTAATTTACTGACTTGACATTGTGTTAGTATCACAATGCGCGTATTTGAGTGTTGCTTGTTTTTTTTTTTTTGTTTTGTTTTGTTTTAGCAGTGAGGGTAAAAAAACAGAGCTAGACGTGGAAGAGGAGGATCTGGTGTCCGTGTCATTGTGTCACTTTCTTGCTTTAAGGCCTTGGGCAAATCCTGGCATCTCTTTTAGCCTTGGATTCCTCTGCTCAACAACCGGCCTGAATTTGGGAAGAAGCGCAGCTGAGCGTGCCCGCCATTGTAGCCGGGCCGCAGCAGTGACACTGAGCCGCACCCTGCGGGTCACACTGGCTTTCTTCAGAGTGCACCCGACCCGACAAGATGGGCCGGCACCGCCCACATGCTCACCGCAGGGAGCCGCACACTTGCCGCTCACTCCTGCCCCGCCTCCCTCCGTGCTTTCACAGCAAAGTTCAACTCTAGCATGGTTTTCTTTTTTATGCTGGCCCTGGGGCTTGAACCCAGGGCCTGGGCACTTCCCTGAGCTTTTCTGCGTAAGGCTAGCATCCTACCACTTGAGCCACAGTGGCCACTTCTGGCTGTACGGTGGTTCATGGGAGATGAGCCTCATGGACTTTCCTGTCCATGCTGGCTTCACCCAGAGACCCTCACATCTGATCCTCCTCAGGAGCTAGGATTACATGTATGATCCACTGGTGCCTGGCCCTCCCTCCCTCCATCCCTCCCTCCCTCCCTTCCTTCCTTTCTTCCTTCCTTCCTTCCCTCCCTCCCTTCCCTCTCTTCCCTCTGTTGGTCCTGGGGCTTGAACTCAGCCTGGCATTGTCCCTGAGCCTCTCTGTGCTCAAGTTGTTGCATCTGCTAGCATTCTACCACTTGAGCCAAAGTGCCACTTCCATATTTTTCAGAGTAGTTTGAGTCTCACAGACTTTCCTGCCCGGGCTGGCTTTGAACCGTGATCCTCAGATCTCAGCCTCCTGTGTAGATAGTTACGGGCGTGAGCCACCAGCACCCAGGCCTTCTTTCTTTCTTAAGTCAAATATTGTAACTGCTATTTTAAAAAGTTGTATTTGCAAGTGTGGCGTGTATGTAAGCTTAGCAGGGCCAACAGAGGAGCAGTTTGAGAATTAGAAGAGGTGCTTCATTTTTATCATTTTGATACTTCTTCATACAGTCATTTTATTTTTAATTGACAGATGACATTGTATTTGTCATGTAGGTGGTGGTTTTGACATGTGTAAGTATACTCACATATAGATAATAGAATAACCATATGTAGCTGATGTGTCTAATTTTGCAGAGCTGTCATTTGCGCAGATAGAACACTACCTCTGGTCCCAGCTCCTCTTGCTCGAAAAGGCAGGGGTGCTGTGGGGGGAGGGAGGTTTTTTTTTTTATGTTTTTGTTTTATTGTACCAGTCCTGGGGCTCGAACTCAGGACCTAGGCACTATCCCTGAGTTTCTTTTGCTTAAGGGTTGCACTCCACCAGGTGAACCACAGCGCCACTTCTGGCTTTTTCTGTGTATGTGGTACTGAGGAATCGAACCCAGGGCTTCATGGATGCCAGGCAAGCACTCTACCACTGAGCCACATTGCTAGCCCAGGGAAAGAGTTTTTAGGAAGGTTTTCTTCCATACTAAATGCAACATTGAAATCAGTGCCTCCCATTGAGCTCATCTGTAGTGGGACATCATCAGGCCAGGGAGCCTCACAGAAAAGCACACTCCAACACTGACCCGGGACAACGTGGTCTGAATCCACGCCAGCTCTCCTGATCCTTAAAGCAGTGTCGCTTTTCCCCGTTCTCTTCCAGGCTGGTACACTCCTCCGAAGGAAGATGGCTAAACTGTGTTGCCCATCTTGTCTGCACTGATGTTGCTTTCAAGATCTTCTCAGCATTCACACTCAGCGTTGAGTGCCAGCCACTGTGACCGCAGCACCTACCGAAGACTTTGGCCGCTGCTCCGCTGGCTGCCATCAGGATGAGGGACAGCCTTGCCCGCGCTCACGCCGGCAGCGGGACCGAGCAGCGGGCCTTCACTGTATTTTTCCTGATAAATAACACATACTGCCACTCCCGATCATCTCTTTTTCTCGAAAAGTGAAGTCTTTTGAGCAGGCAAGTCTGCAGCCACCGCCAGCAGCGTCTCCACCGCGTCCTGGACGGAAGAGTTTGCAGACTCTCTCCCATTAGAGCCAATAAAAGTGTGAAAGATGTTCAGTATTGGTTTAGAGAATTGTAGATCTTCTAAGCCATAGCCTTTTTCAGGTCTAACACTACTTGATTGCCAAAATAGTGACAGGAAACCCTATTATTAAAATGCTGAACTTGGGGTTTTTTGTTTTGTTTTATTTTAATGACCATGTGAAGATGGGAGGACAAACCCTTGAGTTGTGTTGTGCTGCTGGGGCGAAGCCCAGGCGAACAAACTGGAGAGGAGAAGGCGGCGATGGCACAGGCGCAGGCGGGGCTCTGGCTCAGAGGTGCTGCCCTCGCCCCCCCCCCCCCGGCCGAGCCCGCCTCCCCCTGGTCTAGTTCAGTGTTTATGAAGCAGAGCCACAGGGTAGCGCTTGAAGTCACTGAAAAGGCTTTCCATGTGATCACCTTTACATGGGATTGCAGTTATTTGAAAGTCATAATCCTGTGAACTGACAGGCATGCAGACAGGCTCCTTGAAGCAAAGTTGAAAGAGTTAGGTACAAAAAGTTGGCTAATGTGGATTCTCAAAATTGTCTTTGCCCCAGTCATAGCAGTGGCTTTTGCAGCAAAGATGGTACAGGAATGTGACCTGTTCGCGCTCTAAAAAACCTGCCTCAAATCAGCGCGCCCTCTTCTTCTGTCACCTTACCTGGGTCAGCTTCTCTGGTAATTTTTTGTTTTTCTTCATGAACTCATTTAAAAATGAATTGTGGTTATTAAGCACTTTTACAAAGAAACCAGAAGCACAATTTTCTGCAGGAATCCTGTACAGAGTTCCAAAGTGTTTCTTACACATTTTACTTTCAGATTCACATCCAAGACCCTTGGCACTTCCAGGTTATTACATGCGTTTCATTTCTTCTCTTCCTATGTTGGTGATGGGGGCAGAAGGTAAATATTTTTCTGGCATTCTTGCTCACTTGGTTATGTTTATATAAGGTTCTGATTGCTGGTTGCTCAGATAACAGCTGTGGTGAGGCAGAATTGAAATTCTAAAGCATCAAAGTTCCTTAAACCTAAGGCTAAATCTTGACTCTATTCTTAAAATACTTAATTTCCTGATGGCTAGCAGATTGACAGCTGCAATTTGGCATGCTTTTTTTTAAATTTTTCATTGCAGACTTATTTTGGCAATGTACAGTAAATTTTGTAAACTTGCATCAAGTTTATGAATAAAGAACCATTTAAAATAACTTTGTCAACTTTTCCCTCAAGAGATGTGTTCCACATGTCTGCAGGCTCTCATTATGTTTCTGGAATTTAAAAAAAAAAAAAAAGGTTGAAGTGTGGGAAGGCTTGGAGATTTTTTCCCATGCCAATGTCATCTTACCGCTGAGCCACCTTCCCAGCCCCGCCAATGTCATCTTACCATTGAATGTTGTGTCTAGCTGCACAGCCACCTCGCACCGCCAGAGGAGGATGGCACCCCTCAGGAGGTGAGAACCGTAGCTACCCTCTTCGCCCTGCTGCCTGCCCTGAACCAGCACTGGTGGAATGGAGGAAACTTCAGGATTCGTGGGGGCCAGTGGCTTTTCAAAATATGATCTTGAGAATCAGAAATGTTTTAGTGGCAGTACTACTTGCAATACAAAAATATTGGCCACTTTCACACATTCTCTAAGTGTCACCTGGAGCTTTGTGCAGCTTCATGAGAGTTCATAACTGCAGGGGCTGCATTTAGGAGCAGCTGGAAGACCCCAGCTGTTTTCTATTAAGACACAAGCCTTTCAATGTGTAAGTGACATCACATTCAGTATGGGAGGGAGGGAGGCTTGGGTCGTTCTTTTCTATAAAATATTATTGAAGCTGTGTGCCAGTGGCTCGCATCTATAATCTTAGCTACTCAGGAGGCTGAGATCTGAAGATCATGGTTCAAAGCCAGACCAAGGAAGGAAAGTCTATGAGACTCTTATCTCCACTAAACCACCAGAAAACCGGAAGTGGCGCTGTGGCTCAAGTAGTAGAGCGCTCACCTTGAGCTGAAGAGCTGAGGAACAGCGCCCAGGCCCAGAGTTCAAGTCTCATGACTGACTAATATATATATATATATATATATATATAAACATATAATACATATATAAAATTGTATATAGAATTCTTTCAAATTTAGAATCATTTTGGCTGGCCCTGGGGCTTGAACTCAGGGCCTAGGCCCTGTCTCTGACCTTTTGTGTTCAAGGCTAATGCTCTGAGCCACAGCTCCACTTCTGGCTTTTTGGTGGTTAACTGGAGATGAGAATCTCATGGGCTTTCCTGCCCTGGCTGGCTTTGATCCTCAGGTTTCAGCCTCTGGAGTACGGCCGGGAGGTTCTGTTTTTTATTTTTAAAGGCTCATACTATTTATCAGGCATTGGGAATTGGTAAAAGCCTGCGCAGCCTGCCTTGTCTCCCTGCCTCCCCTTAAGAAACTCGAGAGTTAACATGGAACTATAACCCCTCTGTGCAGTATCCTTACGATAAAAAAGAAACATTAAAAAACTAGAGGGGCTGGGAAGGTGGCTCAGTGGTAGAGGGCTTGCTTCTCATGCATGAGGTCCTGGGTTCGATTCCTCAGCACCACATAAGCAAAAAGAAAAAATGCCGGAAGTGGCGCAGTGGCTGAAGTGCTAGAGCATTAGCCTTGAGCTGAAGAGCTGAGGGACAGCGCCCAGGCTCAGAGTTCAGGCCCCACGACCAGACCCAAAAAAAACCCAAAACCCTAACTCGAGAATTAGAAAGTGAACTGGCAAAATGCAGAGGCTCAGATGCAGAGTTCGCCCTTCCAAGGTGGGGAAGCAGCTCTGGGTCAGCCACAGCCGCCCAGGCCTCCCGGAGAAGCTCAGCGGCCCCGCCCTCCCCGGAGGCCCCGCCCTCCCCGGAGGCCCCGCCCTCCCCGGAGGCCCCGCCCTCCCCGGAGGCCGGCCCAGCGGAAGTAGCGCGCGCCTGCGCAGTAAGCCCCGCCCGGCGTCGGCGTCGTCTGACTCCTCCGGGCCGCCGTAGCGGTCGCTCGGGCTCCGGCGGGAGGAGCAATGGAGCCGGTGGGCGCCGGCGGCGGGGACGACTGCGACCCCTCCGCGGAGCCGCGGAGCGCCTTCGTGCTGAGCAACCTGGCGGAGGTGGTGGAGCGCGTGTTCAGCTTCCTGCCCGCCAAGGCGCTGCTGCGGGTGGCCAGGTGCGGAGCG